AGTTACAAGTGGTTTTGAGCCACCCCAGCTGAGTCTAGGAACTGAACTTGGGTCCTCTGCAGGAGCACTCTGCATTTGTAAAGGCTCAGTTCACTGTATGAAACTGAGAAATACACGCTTTCTTTTTGTGCTTTTTTTGAGGCATAAATGATGTGTGTTTGGCCTTTGCCTGAGCAGCGTGTTTGAATATCTGCCTCCTTATTGTAAAGAGAGTTTGAAGCCAGGAATGGAGGCTCACATCTGTAGCCCCAGGACTCAGGAGCAGGAAGCAGCAGGGTGAGGAATTTAAAGCCATCCTCAGCTACATCAGGTGCTTAAAACCAGCCTGAGCTAATGAGATCCTCCCTCAGAACTAATATGTCATGCAATCCAAAGCTGGATAAAACCAAGCATTCAATGCCATATGTTTTTTATAAGTATGTCCTATTTTATTTATTGTGTTGTGTGTGTGTGCATGCCATGGTCACATGTGGAGGTCAGAGGCCAGCCTGCAGCATAACTCCTCTCCTTCCACCATGTGGGTCCCGGGAGTGAACTCAGGTCATCAGGCTTGGTAGCTATTTCCTGTGCCTCAGCAATTTACTCTAAATCAAGCATCCCCCCAAAAGGCCAGGCAGTGGTGGCGCATGCCTTTAATCCCAGCACTCAGCTGGCAGAGGCAGGCGGATCTCTGTGAGTTTGAGGCCAGTCTGGTTTACAGAGTGAGTTCCAGGACAGCCAGAACTACACCGAGAGACCCTGTCTTAAAAAGTCACATGCGCACACACATGTACACACATACACACACATGTACACACATGTACACACACAAATAAAATAAATAAATCAAACATCCCCACATCCTAATCCAATCCTGAAAGGAACACTTTCTGTCCTCCTCCCCACACTTCCCACTTCCCTGTGCCTCTCTGGACACTGGTTCTATCTTAAAGTCTTCTGGTTTTGGTGACCTCAAGACCCCTTTAGGTGTGGAACCAGTGAAGAGATTCCATGGACCAATCTCCTAAAGCACTTCCCAAGGATAAGAAGGAGAAAGAGCCTGTGGAAAAAGAACCCACGTACAGGAAGAGGGGCATGAACCCCACATTCGTGTCCCGGGGCTTCAGGACCAGAGAGGTCCGAATTACCAAGATCCCAAACCACTTCCAGGCAAAGAAGACAGAGAATATCCTGATCTTGGCGACCTTCTCCATTGGACTTGGAAGTGTGTGGTGTTTCCCATACCTGTGCCACCAGAATGGAGGAGGTGAAGCCAGAGCCTATGCTGTGAGGTTAAGGAAGGGGTGTCGAGACCTCCTAGGGAGGAGTGTGAGGGCTGAGGGGCTCCCAGCTGCCTGAGCAAGATCCCACCCCTCCGCAGGCAGGTTTCTGCTAGTGTACCTCATCCTGCTGCTGCTGGTGGGGATCCCTTTCTGTACTGGCGATTGTCTCCAAACTGCAATAAAATAGAAACTACTCCCTATGCCAAGGGAGTCGCACTACTCTGACACAAGAGAACTCCAGCTGCCTTGTGACTTCAACCTAAAAAAATCTACTGTTAAAGGCAGGAAAGGGAAACTTACACTTTCCAGGAGGGACACGCTTGTCCAGGACAGCCTGATTTCCCCTCATTGTCCAACCCACATGTGATCCCTGTAAGTCCTGGGATTGCCACTTTTTTTCTGATATGTTCAGAACCTGCCCACCCTTTTGCTGGCCACTTCTGTCTAGATTGTGACACTGAGATCTGAGGTCTTGGGGTATATCCAGATCCTGTCCTTGGCCAGCGTGCCGTGCATCGCCTTCCATGCTGTCCCTCTCTCTCTCAGGGCACCCTCTGTGGTGGGGTGGAACAGTTTGACTGCTGCCTCCGAAGGAGTATTTACAAGAACAAGTTTGAGCTGACGTATGTGGGACCCAGCCAGGTGAGCAGCTGATGGCCTAGCATGCTGAGACCTCTCATGGCTCATCTGTCCTTGTAACATTTCCCCCACCTGCTGGCCACAGTGTCAAATTTAACCTTCCTCCCTCTGGCAGAGCTATCGTAGGGAACTGAATGGCAACTTCTGGCAACCCTTCTGCTATGTAGTTGTTCTAACCCATTGCAAGCAAAGGTTTACACACCTGGCTCAAGAGATACAGGGATTGGCGCCTGTATCTCCCCAGTGTGAAGCTGTTCTCAGTGCCACCCACAAGAGTTGTGGACGTGTAGGATCACAGGCAAACTGTAATGCGTAGGACTCTGTTGTCCCAGAGACATGCGTCTCACTCTCCCACTTCCCTTTCCTTGCTCTTATTACGAGTTTGTTCCTGGATCTTTCCAGTCTCTCCAGAAACGTTTATCCTTTCTCTACTGTGTTAGATCTGTTAAGGACTGAGAGTACAAAGGTAATGTATCTGTAAGATATCGTACCAGGGCCAGAGATACAGCTCTTACTATTCTTACAGAGAACACAAGTTCAGTTCCCAGCGCCATGTTAGTGTCTCACAATCACTGGGTCTTCAGCCTTGGGGATGCAACACCCTCTTCTGACATCCGGCACCTGCACTCACCTTTGTACACACCCACACATGTAATTCAAATTCTTTTTAAAAAAGACATTGTGGTCTGGTATGTGGCCAGTGAGCTTGAGGCCAGCCTGGTCTATATAGCAAGTTCCAGGCCAACCAGGGCTACATGTCTCAAAAAAGAAAAAAAGTAGAAGAGGAAGAAAAAGAAAGAAAATCTTAGCATTTAGGAGGATGGCCAGTTGGAGGTCATCTTAGGCACATGATGATGTAATAATGATAATAATAGGTTCATAATTATATAACAGTAACTATGATATAGTATTCTGTCTTCATAGGTAAAGAGCTTTGTACTAAGAAGTGCAGGAACAAAGTGAGTGATTAGTGTTACCGAGTAGAGCTCTCAGAATCGAATGGCCATGGACAGCCCAGGCCATGGGGAAGTATTTCCTAGGTAGCAAACCCTGTGTGAGTGCAAGTGTTGTCCTTATCAACAGCATCCCAGGCCGAGGGAGAAACAAGGTATCCTGGAGTTGCGTGAGGGACCAGAGCACCTTCACTCTTCTCCTGCTCTGGGAAAGCCTGATGGGTTGGACTGGTCCCTTCCCAGGTGATAGTGAAGAACCTGTCTTCAGGGACCAGGGTGGTGCTCAAGTCCCACTATGGCTATGAGGTAGAAGAGGTGAAGATCCTGGGGAAGGAACGGTGGCTCACACATTGGACACGCTGCTGCTCGGAGACTTGAACACCAATCGCCTCAGTGAGGTAGGAACCGAGAGAGAAGGGTGGGTAATGGGATGTCTTGGCTTGCTAATTCTGAAGATGCGGGCCCTAAGAAGTAAGATTCCCCGTAGGATACCATTCTGATATTATTTCCTGGAATATAAACTTCCACAGTCAGACTGGTTTCTCTTGGAAATATGATGATCAGGGCAAGAGTCTGATACAGCGCACCTTTTGTGTACCGTCAAAACCTCCCCGAATACCATCTCTCTTCTTTGCCACTGACATCCTCCAGCCTTGTCTTGGGTGATTGTCTACATTGTCTATGATGTGTAGTAATAAGCTGAGATCCTGATTGAAGAAAGAAAGGGTGAAAGCAGCTGAGGAGTGACACCTGAGCGTGTCTTCTGGCCTGCTTACGTGAACAAGTGCAGTCACACGCGCACCCACAGTCTGTGCGTGCACACACACCCCTAAGTCTGTTTCCTACTGAAAAACTGGATGTCACTCTTTGTATACTGTGCAGGGTGACGTTGTAGGTCTGGAGCTAGGTGGAGGGAAGACAGAGGTGATGGTGACCAAAGGGGTGACGACTGTGGCCTACACCCTGGACGAGGGCCTGATTGAGTTTGGAACAGCCATCGATGACGGCAACTACACCCGGTGAGAGCTGCTAACAGCCAGTGTGGTGCTGAGCCAGTGTGAGCCTAGCAGACGCCTGCAGTGACCCATTAAACTGTCACAGCTCAGTGGGGCCCTGTAGTCATGGGAGGAGCCTAGACAAAGGGCGGTGTTTCTGGCCTTTCTTCCCCCCTCCTGCTGCCCCAGCAGCACCAGGGTTCCCCTCTGCTCCTCCAGATCCTGCTTCACTCCTGTGCTTTCTTCCCTTCCTCTCCAGGGCAACAGCCTTCTTGGAGACCCTGGAGATGACCCCAGAAACAGAGGCAATGTGGAAAACCTTGAGCAAACTGGCCCTGGAGGCAAGGCAGCTCCACACTGCTGAGAGGTGAGAGCTGTGGAACTGAATGCTGGCCACTAGGAGGCCTGTGGGCTGCTTCTGTCCTGTGTGTGGGCACTGCTTCCCACACACCCCAACAACATAAGCCCTTCCTGGTGCACTTACTCCAAACACCTTCCTACTCTAGATCAATATATCTTTTAAAAATAGTTTTAAATTCTGTGAATAAGAATGTCGATGTGTGGGTTTGTGCACGTGAGTGCCAGTGCCTGCCAAGGTCAGGAGAAAGTTTTGAACCTCCTGGAGCTGGAGTTCCAGGCTGTTGTGAGCCGCCTTGATAAAGGTGCTGGAACCAGACTCCAGTCTCTACAAGAGCAGTACACACTCCTGACTGCAGAGCTGTCCCTCTAGCTCTGAATATGCCCTAATGTTTGAGCTTCTCCTTTGCAAGGTTCTCCTTTAAGAGGTTGTTTCTTGTTTGCATTATGACTGTTTATATATTTAAAGTTTTTACATTTTTAAAATTTAGTTACTTTGAACTGGGTGTGTTTTAGTCACTTTTCTATTACTGTAGCAAAACACCGTGACCAAGGCAGCCTATAAAAGCCGCACAAAATGTCCTTACAGTTCCATGATAGGGGCAGTGCGAGCACAATGGCCTGGACAGCTGAGAGCTCACATCGTGGAACCAGCAAACAGCATTGGAGATGGCAGAAACTTTTGAAACAGCAAAGCCTCACCTGCAGTGACAAACCTCCTCCAACAAGGCCATACTTCCCAATCCTTCCCAAACACTTCCACCTCCTGGGGACCAAGTCTTCAGACATCTGAGCCAGTGGGAGGCAGTCCCATCCACACTGCCACAATGTTTCTGTGTGAGGGTCCATGTGTGGGTATGTCCACATGAATGATGGTCCCCACAGAGGCCAGAGGTGTAGGATCCCCTGGAGCGAGAGCTTCAGGCAGTTATATGAGCCTTCATATGTAGATACTGGGAATTGAACTCAGGTCCTCTGCAAGAGCAGTATACACTCTTAACCACTAAGCCATCTCTGCAGCCTGCCCAAGTCTTTTTAACATACCTCTGTGTCTTTCCTGGGTGTGGCACAGAGGTAATGAACACATTTGGGACCTCAAATTCCTTGAGTTCAAACGTTGGTTCAACTTTTCCTCTTGTATAAACTTAGAAAGGTCATTCACCCTTTCCAACCCTGGGATTTGGTTTTCTTTATATAAAATGGGGGCACTGATGACAGTATTTACCACATAGTATTATAAAGGAGAGTGGCGATGGTAATGGTGGTGAAGAACAAGAAAGAATCTGCAAAAGGCTTAGATGTAAGGGCTTAGTAATGTCAGCTGTTTCTGGGAAGCAGCTTGAGCTTTTTCATATATACCCCTCCTCCCTTGACCCCATGTAAGCTATCCTCCCTGAGGGACTGCGACCTCTCCCCTTAGAGAGCCTGGGCCGGCTCCTGTCAGAGATACTCTGAGGGACCTTCTAGAGGGACTGCGATCCTACCTCTGGGAGGGACTGCGACATCTCCTCTCCGAGAGGCTTCTAAGGGTTCTGTCAGAGGGACTCCTAGGCTTTCTCTGAGGACTGTGGCGTCTCCGATGAGATCTCTTAGACAGGCTGCGATAGGTCCTTCCAGAAGACTTATTACGATTATGTAAGGCCCAGTCCCTGAAGAAGCCATGTTGTTCTTGCTCGTGTTTGAAGTGACTCTGCATGGTTCTCTTCAGAAAGGAGTCAGGCATGACTGTCTCTTGGGCCTGAAATTTGGCTCCTACTTTAGAACAGTTCTTAGACTCTGGATTGAAGAGTTCATAGTGTTGTTCCTTGGAAACTACAGCTCCCAGACTTCTCCTGGATTACCGACACCTGTGCGCACGGGCATGCCCAGGTGCGGGTCTCCCAGATAACCTTGCGCCCCCCCCCCCCCGTTAAAAGCGAGCTTCCACGAGGTCTCGCTCTCTCTCACCCCCCTCTGGCCCCTTGTGTGTCTCGCACACCCCATCCCTTATCGTGTTTCCCTTTCCCATTAAAGCGCACCCACGTGGGAGCCGCGTGTCTCGTCTCTTCCTTTTGCACGTGTCTCGCCTATCCTGTGTTTGTCCACACACACACCCTGCCGTTTTAAAGGAAGAATACATAGTTGTGCTGTTGACATTTAGAACTCTACTCAAAGGCTGTAGGATTGAAGTAGCCTGGATAATGACATTCCTCTCAGAAACAATGTTCTTCACCAATTCCAAAGGTCTGGGCTGGAGAGAGCTCACTTGTTTTGATTGTTGAGCTTGGTCACATGTTTCCTGCAACCTGTCTTCTTTCTTAGGGGTGGAACCCATGAACCTTTGCTTGATATCAGGTGTGCTGGCCCCTCTGTCATCTCCTGTTAAACAATCATCCTCGTCTTTCTCTTCGGGGTACAAGTTTTTGCTTGACCACAAATTGTCTGGACTAGCCCTGTCCTCAGGCTTCTGTCCAGTGATAGCCATAACTCTATGTGCTCTTTGGAATGCCTGCTTTAGGCCCTGAAAAAGCAGCTGGAGGAACCTGGGCTGGGAGGATTTCGTCGGTTGTCTCTTTGAAGAAATGGTGCTGATTTGAGTGGTTTCGATACTCTTGCTTCTTGATGGATCTGTCAGTGTTCCAGAAGGACACTCTTCCGTGAGTCTACTGTTTTTGTAGAGCTTTATGTTTTGCATTTTAAGTTCCTTGGTGATTTTCTTCATTGGATATTTTAAGTCTGAGGTCTTTCTGAGTCTTGACTTAGCCCATTTTTCATGCCGGTTACTTTCAGCGCCACTCTCTGACGTGGAGAGAACCTCACAGAATTCATAATGCCCAGAGTCTTTGGCTTCTGTCTTCCCTGCCACACCACGGCTGCCCCATTGCTTTTGCCTCCTGTGAACTGGTACAGAAGCCGGAGACTGGGAAGATCTGGACTGGAAATCTCTTGTAGAAGTTGGACTCTTAGAAGCTGGAGTATAAATTTTAGCTTTCCTGTGCGATGATGAAGAAGGGTTCTTCGATGTGTCCGCTCTGTTTCTCTCACGATACTTTGAGACCTGAGGTCTTTTTCCAATGTGCAACCTAAAACCAAGATGCAACCAAATCTCACCATGGCCTTCAGGGGTGCTTATAAGGTGGATCTGTGGGTAGACGAGAAGGTAAGGCCCAAAAGCACACTGTAACTTATGACAACACTTATATCCTGAACATTGGCCGCACTGCAAGCAGATGTGGTATTTCAGGACAAGACCTGACCCTGGGGGTGGAGGGACGTTGTGTGGTATTTGACTCCGCAAGAGTTTTGCTGCTATCTTTAGCTGTAGATCTTTAAGTAGATGGAGCTGTTCTGAGAGATCGGTCTTGGTCTGGGAAAAATAACTTGCCTTTAGGGAGCGGTGAGACTCAAAAGTTCTTGTCTGTGAATCGCTCTGGGAGATTTTACTGGGCTCCCTGGAAACAGGATCTTCCCTACTGTAAAGTATCCCGAGAGGAGACTCTGGCTTCCCTAAGGCAGGAAACTGGGCCCCTGTACATGAGACAGGCATGTGCTGAGTGACTTCCTGGAATATATCACTGAGTTTTGAGTTTGTTTTCTTTAGTCCCAATCTAGTACCAGAGTACTGCTGTATTATGGAGGATGTGGATCCACGTGTCCACATCTTTAAGGGCATTCTTTTCTCGTGACCGTGGCCTAAGATATGTCTCTGAATATAGTTTTTGACCACTGACGTCTGTGAAATCGTCCTTGGACCCCTCTCTAGTAGGCTCTGGGAAAATTCCATCAGTTCAGCTGGAACCCCAAATAAATTCTGAATAGATCTGCAGATATCCATAGTGGCTCCTTCTGTTAGAAATGGTTGAGAACAAAGCTTCCTTTCCATAGTGGTTCCCAGAACATTCCCCAACATCAGCATATTTGAGAGGTACTTCCTGGGTAGTCGCTGCCTACAGACATGGCTTTCCCAGATGTTCAGTTGTCTGCCCAGGAAAGAACAGATAAAGTTTCTTCGAGCTCCTAATCCTGCCTGAAACTCCGAGGGTAGTAATCTCAGTGGATACGGAGAATAGCTCTGCAGTGAATTCCCAAATTCTTCCATTTGCTTCTTTTCATTTGATTCCTTAGTTATGACATCCATATCCCAGATCTTAGGATATATGGATCCCACAGAGTTCCCTGTTTTATCAGAGGGAAGGACCAAGGGAAGAGCTGGTGACTGTATCCTAATAGTGTCTGTATTGGACTCTGGAGACTGCAAAATGCCAACATTAAAGTTCTTCATAGTCCGGGCTCTTGACACTTTCAGCATTCCAGAACCCTGAAGGGGCCCTAATTTGCTTGTTTTGACATAGCTTGAAAAAAATGGTATCTGAGGGCTGCTTAAGAACCTAGAGAAGTAGTTCTCTGCTTGTAACTTTTCTGATGTTATCATTTCTGAATCTCTGTTCTGACACGCCCATCCTTCATTCAGATCCATTTCCAGTACTTTAGGAGATTCTCTTTTGATTCCTACAGATTTTCCAGCCTGAAGCCTTTGCTTGTGAGTTAATGTTTGCTGTATGATTAATTCTGGAAAATTCTCTTGAATATTTTCCCTTCAAGTTCGTTCTATAGTTTTTATCTTGTCTTGAAGATGTGGTCTTGGGAGTAAATTCAAAGGATCCTTTACTTGAGTTCTTTATCTTGTGGCAACTCCTATTGGTTCGACAGCCTGAGGACTTGGTCCTGGTGCCAACTCTTCGGATTTCACAATCAGAAGCAGGGGCTTGGGAAGCAATATCATCTTTATCGCTTGAAAGCCTGATAATTCTATCGTTTCTAAAATCTGATGTGTTGGCTCTGAGATTAACTTCTTAGATTGCACATTTTGTAGCCAAAGTCTTGGAGCAAACTCTGAAACTATCATATCATGCAGTTTGGGAGTTAAATCAACATATTTTGACCCTTGAGAGGTCGGCTCTGGTATCATCGCAGACTCTATAACTTGAAGTGGTGGTCCAGGAATCACTGTCAGAGATTCAGAGACTTGAGGAACTTGAAGCTGTGTCTTTGCAGGTTCTGTCATTTGATCGAGTAGCTTTGGGCTCACCGTTACAAAGTTTATAATCTGATCCAGTGATTCTATTGGAGTGACGTTCGCTTTTTCCATGCTTGCCTTCTGGGGCGTTGTTAGACCACTTTCTACCTCTTCTGTCTGACATTCCTCAAACGTGAGCTCTACAGAGGCTGTATTTCCCACAACTTGATTGGTTGGCTGGGAGGCCAACTCTAAGAATTCTTCCCTTTGCATCCCCTTGCCTAGGCTTAGAGGTCAAACCTACAGATTCGGGAATCTGAGGTCCTGGTGTTATTCCTGGAGCAGAATCCGGAACGTGATAGAATGGCCTTGGTGACGAGGCTACAGATTGTTCTCTTGGGGATCTTTTCTCGGAGCTCCCCATCACAGGTCCTAAGTCTTGAGGATATGGCCATGGAGATTTTTCGACACATTCAGTCTCTCTGTTTACTGGTGTTGAAGTCACTCTAAGAAATTCTTTCCCTTGCTGTCTTACCTTACAAGTTAGCACCGTCATTTCTGTGGCATGATTCTTGAGGTCCAGGGTCATTCTCTTAGATCCTGTGGCTGGTTGGGTCTGTGACTGCTTGAAATCTTTCACTTGAGGCCACTAACAAGAAAGCAACTCCAGGGTTTCTAGGCTCTGGTAGTTTTTCTGTGGGGTCAGTTCTGAGGCGTTTGAATCTTTTTTTTGTTTGTTTGTTTTTTTGTTTTTTTTCAAGACAGGGTTTCTCTGTGGCTTTGGAGCCTGTCCTGGAACTCACTCTGTAGACCAGGCTGGTCTCGAACTCACAGAGATCCACCTGCCTCCGCCTCCCGAGTGCTGGGATTAAAGGTGTGCCACCACTGCCTGGCTTAGGCGTTTGAATCTTGATCACTTAGTGTTGGAGTCAGATCAGCAAATCCTGGCACTTGAAGCTCTGGCTGCTGTGGCATCCCCAATGATTCTGTGACTGTATCCGTTGGCTTGGGGATCAACCTCATAGATTTCTCTGTTGTTTCTGTGCTTTTGTGTCCCAACCCTTTCATCATTTCTGAAGATCCTGCATCTTCTTGATAAACGGGCAGCGGAATATAATTCACCAATTTAGGGGCTTGGTACCTGATCTTCGTGTTCATCTCTGCATAGTCCACCAGGTGGTGTGCTGGTCTGCACGTCACCTTAGAGGGTTCTGTGATTTGATCATTTGTTTGGGGAATTTGGTTCCCAAATGTCATATTTTGAAGGAATGGACTTGGTGATAAGCCCACAGAGTTTCCACTTCGTGGCAGGGACACTGATGATAATTTCACATGTTTTACACTTTGCCCCCTCAGCTCTGAAGTCTGATTTAATGGTTTAAATTTCATACATCGTGACTGCGACTCTGGAATTAAATTTGAAAATTTGACACTCGTCAGTGCTGGTCCTGCCAAGGACTTCCTGGTGGACTCCTGTGTTACTACCATTGGCGTCTCATCTAAAGCATCTGTTGGCGATTCATACTTTGCTGTTGGGATCCTAGCCTCAGCTCCATGGGTTTTAGATCTTGAAGACATGGCTTCAGGGCAAAGAAAGACTTGAGCACATTGAGACCCGTGGCATGGAGCTAACTCTGAAGAGTTCCCGCTCTGAGTCTGTGACCCTGGCTTCAAACACATAACTGTTTGAAAACAAGGTCCTGGTTAAAATTCCTTACTTCTCAAGTCCTGCAGACCATAGCCAGGTGTCAGGTTTACAGAGTTTGTACAAAGCAATTGCTGTTTGCTCATCTCTGGAAACATTTTATCTTCAGGCAGTGGTGTTGGTAAAACTTCCTCAGAGTCCACACCAGTTGACTGAGGCTTCGGAGTCAACATGGGTTGTGCAGTTTGCTGCCGTGACCCAAATTTCTTCTTCAAAAATGGGATCTCTTGAAACTTTGCCCCTACCGATAAGTTAGATGGCTTCACACCTTGAAGAGGGGGTCCAGGGCTCAATAGAACAGATCTTGTACACTGAGATTCTGATCCACGGGTCCATGCAAAGGACTTTATGTTTTGCAACTGTGGCCCTGAACCAAGCTTTGCTAAATTTATGCGCTGTAATTTTAATCCTGGATTCAATTAAAAAAATTCACACATTGTTCCTGTGGCCCAGGGTTGTATTCTGCAGGTGCTATTCCTGCAATATTTGACCCTGGAGTTAATTCAAGCCTTAAATCTTGCAAGTGCTGTCCTGGGTTAACTGTTAGAGGCATCTCTCTTTGAATTCCTGTCCCTGGGTTCAACTCAGGAAACTTCATACCTTGAAGTTTAGGAGCTTCTAAATGTGGCCCAGGGTTGTATCCCATAGAATTTGCAGACTGTGATTCTTGTCTTCGAGGACATGCAGAAGAATTCACATTTTGCAAATGTGTTTGGACACTGCACCAAACAGAATTTACACACATAATTTGTGGTGCTGGAGATGTTGTACCAGAATGCATTCCTTGAAGAAGTGGCCCAAGATTATTCCTATTAGAATGTTCACACTGAGGGTTTTGGCCTCTTCAGGTTTTACACTGTGAACAACTAGTTTAGGAGTCGATTCAAATGATGGTGTATCTTTAAATTGTACTTTAAATTTGATCTCTTTGGGTTTTTTATCTGCAGGTTTGGCTTCTTGACCTGACTTCATGGACAACACATTTTCTGACTCAAAATGTTTGCTCAGCTGGTCTAAAACCCCACCTTTCCACTCGGGTGATCTTACAGTTATCTGGTCATCCTGTCCAGGCTTGAGAGTTAAATCCGTAGGCGCCATCCCTCGACACGGTTGTTTTGAGACTAAATTCACAAGTTTTACTCCTGGGATTCCTTGTGTTTTGGCTATATTCACAGGTTTTATACTTTGTGGTTTCAAACATGAGATAATCCCATGTTTCCTACCCCGCATTTGTGACTGTGCAGTCAGTTCCTTGGGTTTTATACCTTGTAGTTGAGGCACTTGCAACACCTCCATAAACTCATCTTGTACATTTTGGTACAAAAGTCACAGGACTCTCTTCTTGCTTTGGTTCAAGTTTCAAACCCATGGCATTTACATCTTGAACATGTGTATCACGGGCCAGCCCCACAGTCTTCAAATCTTCAAGTCTTGAATTGTTGAACCTGGAATCAACTTCACAGTTTTTGTACCATCTGACTGGGAACTACATGGGGATACCACTGTAGATTTTATCCTCTCTGGACATTGTCCTAGAGTTAAGACCACAGATTTCCTATTCTCTAACTGTGGTCTTGAAGGTAGTAACTCAGATTTTAAACCTTTCAAGTTGGGGCCCGGGGGCAGCTCCTCGGGCTCTTTATCTCCTGCTTGTTTCCCTGGGGTTAACAGTATAGCTTTGACTCCCCCTCCCCACCCCACCCCCGCTCTGACTTTGACCTTAACTCCATAGATTGCACATCTCCCAAATGTGGCCCTGGCGTTAACTCTTTCTGCTTTGATGCTGTGACCTTCTCCACAGGTTTTATATGTCCCAAATGCTGCCCAGGGATCGATTCAGAAGATTCTATACCTTGTGCTTCTGGTCTTCCAACCAACTCAGAATGATCTACACTTGCTAACTGTATCCCAGGAGTCAATCTCACTGATTCTGCCATTGGAACCTGTGAGAACAATCACAGCACCACTAGATCAAGGTACAATACCCATAGGAAGGAGCCAGGACAGCCACACATTACAGAACCTAAGTCTTTGATCCAAACTGAAAATTTGACCCCACTGCCAGCTCAGCCAAGAGGAGCAGCAGAATCTCGAGGCATACCTCCACAGCTACCGTCTACAGTCCTAGCGTCATCAGGAGTTATTCTGCTACCATCAGGTCAATCCCTGCATGCTCTAAAGGTGACCCCGATAGTACAGGCGCACCTGGGGTAGGAATGATCCCACCACTCCAAGTTGTAGAGCCTCCTGGTTTGACTCCACAGCCAGTGGCTCAAGTCAAAGAACCTCTGGACTTGTCTTCTGGGTTCCAGGTTCAAGCTGGAGACTCTGTGGAGATGACTCCACAACATCAAGGTGCAGAGTGTGTGTCATTGACTCCAGGACTGTCTCAGCAGGTCATGGACCCTTGTCAGGAGCTGTTTTCCTTCTAAAAATCATTACAGGAACCATCGCCTTGGGGAGTCTGGAGAGAACCCCACACCCATAATTACGTTAAGAATCGTTCTATTAAAAAAATCGTTCTATTGACACCCAATTAAGCTGTTAATTGAGAGCTATCTGATAGCGGAACCCGCCTCACATTCCAGCTATACAGGGAACTAGGTGTGTCAACTCCTGACTTCTAAGTGACCTGACCAAACGTACCCTCCTGGCCTACGTGATCTGGACCACGCAGCGAGATCCCGTACCCTGCCCCCCAAGCCCTCATCCAGGGGCTATATAAGCAGCAACCAGGACTCTAATAAACGGAGGCTGTGACAAACTTAGCATGGCCTCCTCCTTCTTTCCTAGCCCATTCTCTTCCAGATAGAACCCCTCCATGACCCTGGAGTCACTGATTGCAGGGTGGGTTACAACCCCTAGACTGAGTGACCCACCCAAAGCAATCGACAGACCCTTCAAAGTTTACCCCATGGCACCAAGACTTAGACTATTCCGAGGTGAGCCCAAGGCAAAGTCACAAAATCCCAGAAAGGGGTGGGACCTCTGACACCCAGCCCCAAATGAAGAATTCTGTAGAGATGACAGAGGTACATAATCAAATAAGTGGAGAATACACAGCTGTGGCATTTCCTTCTTATTCCAGCACGCCAAGAGGGACATGTTATTAACTTGTGATACTGGTCTCAAGTACTTTGTAGGGTAGTGCATGCCACATTTCTCTACTTGAAGTTATTATTTTCTTTTGTTCCTACTTTGCTTCTGGAAGGGGCAAATCTATAAATCTAACTCCTATTGGGGGTACGGGAGCTGGCATGATTAAATTCCATCTCCTGGAAGAATACTATAACACAACACATAGTATTTGAAATTCGTGAGTAAGAAAGATGTGTCTCCCTCTCACCAGATTCATTTGTCCATTTATATTTATTGGCATGGATGCATGTATATTTCTTTTGTACTTTGTATTATGGCTCGATACTATTGTTATTCTTTTTGTTGCTCAGTTTTTCCAGCTTTAGCTGTGAGAAGCTCTTCTGCCTGCTTGTTTTTAATATGTCCCATCATTCTGGAGTTCGGGGACCCTATAAACCAGAGCTCATCTTCCTGTGTCTTTCTCTCACTCTGTAACCCTCAGCCACTAACTAACAAAGGGACCCCGTTCTTCCCTCTCCCATGAAGGGAATGCTTTACTATCTAGATTCCATATATAATGTCTGTCCTCACAACACTAGGATCTAATCCATGTGTTTAATCCAAAATGGATCTAGGATTAGATCCAGGATCTAATCTGCCTTGAATTTAGATAGGATACTGGGCATTTTGCTGTGTTTATGAGCCCATAGATGGAACCGGGCTGGTACTTTCATCCCCTTTCTGGTTCAAATTCCTTTCTTTGACTTTACAGACTCTTTAACATACTCAAGACCTATTCAGGGCTGTCTAAACCCAGCACCACCTACGTTGTGAAAATAACAGCTAGCTGACCTGGACGAATGGAGTTCCGTTTTTAGTATATTAGATTTCATGTACAGTAGTATCCAACTGCCTCCTAAGCCAAATCCTCTTGGCTTTGATCCAGCAAATGGATACCCAAGAGATCATTTGTTTTTCTCTTCTTCAATCCAGTGGTCAGCTTTCTGTCAACATTTCGGGATCACCGCTGCCTTCTCTGGTTGTTTTCCTCTCCTCAGATGTTTGCTTTCTCCAAAGAGTGCTAGTTATTTGGAGACAAGTTGTAGCCCATCCGTCTCTGGATAATTCTTTGGGAGAGAGAGAGAGAGAGAGAGAGAGAGAGAGAGAGAGAGAGAGAGAGAGAGCTCTTGATATGAAGCCTCCAATTCACAATCTCCTACTGCTCCTCTCAGATGAAGGGATTACATAATGCACCACCACGCCTTACTCAGTTCTAGCCTATCTCTGAACTGCTTTAGATCTGCCTAGAGCCCAGAATCCCCTAAGAAGGACCCAACTCTCTATTGTTCACTCCGCATGCTGGGAGCTGTGCAGCCTAGTCTCGGATCAGCATAAGACTCCGTGTTCTACGAGCTTCCTCAGGGCAAGGCACCTGTGGAAACAGACTCTCACTCGGCAAGAGCAGGGTAGGAATTTGCAAAATTCAGGCAGCTTGCAGGTTCTTTTCTCTCTCTCATTATTTTGGTGATTCTTTGGGTGGTTTTTAGTTTTACTCTGTCAGCCACACGTGCAACAGCTGTAATTTCCCCTGGAAATTATGCTCCTTTTTAAATATTTTCCCCTAATATTCAGCAGGGGGTTAATGCTTCTCAAATCTCTTCTCTGGAATTGCTAACTACAAGGCCCAATCCTGGGAACTTTTCTGATTCGATAAAAACAGGTAGGCATGAGAGAACAACACTTCGAATGCTCACTCTGTCTCATGGTTCTAGAAAGGGGAGTGAGGCATGTGTACACAGAATGGGGGAAAGCCTCAGGGATTCACCCAGTGCCAACTGTCGAGAGTTCCCTGGACACCACACATAGAAGCATGGGTAGGATCTGGTATGCGCCAAGAGGAAACAGACAACGCAAACTATGGGATGGAGGGATCCATCTTTACCATGCACAGGAGCTTACATTGGTGGGAGATGCATGGTATAGAGAGATGGGAAGAGCGCCTTATCACAGTCTGCCTTCTACAGAGATCGAGACGTGGGGCCCTCTTGTAGGAAAAAGAACTGTATAAAAATACACCTTGCAGACATGAACCAATGTCTGGGTTTGAATATTGTCCTTAAAGCATTGTTCCCATGTCTGTTACTTTTAACTTCGTAACTGCAAGCAGCTGTCATTAGCGCCAGGAGAGCAGGCTGTGTCTGGTTCGATGTTTAGTTAAGGCCTTCAAAAATGCTGAACTCTACGTCTAGAGTAAGGTATTGTAGCAGGTGGAATGGTGTATTTGGAGAAGCATGAAGGGGAACAATGGGGGTTTTCACAATGTATTCCTTCAAATGTGATGTATTTCTTAAAGTCAAAAATAGAAGCCAATAATAAAGTCGTTCACATAACCCTGGTAAGCAAAATTCTGGTGTGTATAAATAAAGACAGCCTGTGCTATTCGGTGCCACTTGAGTGCAGCCCACTTGGTGGTCAGAAGTTTCCTTTTCCTTGGCCGATGTCCCTTTCCCGCCTCAGGACCTGAACCCAAGACAAGACTGAACCCTAGCAACGTAACACTGTAAGCCTTCAAAACATTCTCAGGTTTTATTTGCCTCACTTTAATCTTATTTGTTCCAAACATTTCCTTGATTCTTGACTTCCCCAGTCATATCCCAAAATAATTCTCTCGGAAGGGGAGGTGTGGGGGTGGGGGAGATGTCTTAACTGGCTATTTCTCTGCCACAAGGGGAGCCAGATCTCTTCAGTAAGAGCCTTGGCTGCAGGAGTCAAGACTGCACCTGGTATGAGTCCAGGTGTCTTTGATTTATCAAAACCGTGATTGCTGAAGTCTAAAACTGCGCAGACAAGTTTCTAGTGTTTGTAGGGTCCCACCACCAAAGGGTCCCCAGCACAGCCAGAGTTCCTTTGCTCTTTCTTGCATACACAAGGAGAGGGTGCCGTCAAAACCCTCTGCTCTCTGGCCTCTGAGGGGGTATGGCATTCACTCTAGTCTCATCGGGATTGTCTTTCTCTAGCAGATAATAGCTGAAACACAGCTTCTCCTTGCCCGGGATGACCTGGTGCCACCATTTCCGTGTTTGTGTGTACTGAGTCTGATAACTGACTTTTGGCAAGGTTAGGTTCCAAAACAAGACAATCAATTTTATTTCTGAGATCAGAAGATGCCAGTGACTCTTCCCCAATCCCGCGCGCCTCACCCTCACCCCCAGAAATTGGGTTTGTCCCACCACCACGTGTATCGCTGGCACAAGTCTTCATGGGACTGGACCGATGGCAGAGCCTCTTCACAGTCCCAGAAACATCAATTTACTGTACTATAGGCTGTTGGGTCCCCAAGGGCTCAGATGGTGCGCTTCTGACCCGGCCCAGAGAGGGCGCTCCTGATAACCTCGCATACGGAAGGAGCTGCAGCCAGGAGTGCCTTAGCCTCTGTGATGGAGCAGTGTTGTAAAAGGCTCAGCAAGGTTTTGGGGATCACCAGTCTGTGGTGGCACATGCCTTTAATCCCAGCACTTGGGAGGCAGAGGCAGGTGGATCTCTGAGTTCGAGGCCAGCCTGGTCTACAGAGTGAGTGCCAGGACAGGCTCCAAAATTAAAGAGAAGCCTTGTCTCGGAAAAAAAAAAAAAAAAAAAAAAACTTCACTTAAGCGGGAAAATTCCTGTGCCAAGACCCTTCTCTCAGTCCTTCTTGATGCCCCTCCAAGGCAGAACAGAAGCCGTTTTGTTGGTATCCTTTTTGCCTCTGTAGTTTCTGCCACTGTCATGCCTCCTCACCCCACCCCTACCCCATCCACCTACCACTTCAAATGGGAGTTCCGCGTGGCACGGATCTCTGAACTTTGTAAATCTAGTGTCACACCAAGTTCCTAAGATGTTTAAGATCCTCAGAAAGTGTTTGTGGAATGGCCAGCAAAGGGGAAAGAAAGGATACCTTTTCCTTCTCGTGGGCAACCTGGACGTGGTAGGAGATGGGAGCAGCCCGGATATCATCTGACAGTGGTTGAGGAAAATGGATTGCTCTCGATGCAGCAAGCCTTGGACTGTCCAGAGAACCGCTGTGGGAGTAGTAGTAAGGTCGGTGTTGGGGTGGAGGGCAAGGAGAACTGAGAATAGTGTCACAGAAGAAAGCAATCGGAGTGGGGGGGCGGGGCGGCTAGGATCCTGAAGACTGGCTGAAGACACTGTGGAGAGTTTGTCTCTCCTGGCAATCCCATAATCACAAGGTGTAAAGGAAAACTGAGTTAAAGGAGTTAATGAATGGGAAGTTGGTGAGATTTACAACTGTTCCAAGGACCCCACGTAGATCGATGATAAAGGATAGAAACCTTCAAGGCCGTCCATCATGATCTCTGCCCAGCATCCATTCTCCCTCCATTTGGGCATTAGCCCCTTTCTTTTCCTGGATAACTGTTGGTGTCCATTCTGAGACCGTAGATATAATCAAGCCATCCTGCCCCACCAGATTCTTGAAAGTACACACAAAGCAGATGAGCAGGTGCCCTTTCTCCCTGCAGGGCAGTGATTGGTTCAAAGTTGTGCACATGACCCAAGACAAGGCAACAAGAGTCCTCAGCCAGATGCTAGTGGTGTCATGAGGAACAGAAAGACTCCTTCCCACTGGGGTTACTGTTCTAAGTCCTGGAACTCACTTTTGTAGACCAGGCTGGCCTCAAACTCACAGACACCTGCCTGCCTCTGTCTCCTGAGTGCTGGGATTAAAGGCATGCGCCACCCGGCTACTATTTGGGTTTCTATTGCACCTTGAAACCTAAAGACTGCCGACTGGGAGTTACAGTTTCACACTCCTGCACCTTTGTGTGCATGCAATGAGGACCGGATAATATGCCCGAGAAAGACATGCCTGTGAAAGTCCAGCACTTAACCCTACACCCCTCCCCAACATTGCAAAAAGACACCTTCTATAGCAGTCTGGGTTTGGGGGTCTCCTGTCCTGCTCCCACCTGCAACATGGCCAGTGCCCTCCAAAAGAGCTTGGAGTTGGTGATGCGGAGGTCCAGCATGTGGTTCTGTAGGGTCTTCCCCAGCAGCACGTGGGCCCCGGTACTCACTGTATTCAACACCCACTTGGTGCTTAGCTCACGCTGGAACTTCTGAAATACAGACACACGGGAGCGCTGGAAGTTAGGGGCTGGGAGAGCAGCGGTGAGAGAGCCATATTATAACAGAAAACCTGGGCTA